CCGCGGCCACCGAAACCGCCCCGCGCGCCGCCGCGACCGCCTGGCCCTCCGCGGCCGCCGCCTGGTCCCGACTTGCCACGCTTGGGCGCTGTTTTTTTTTACGGGTGGCGAGGACAGGAACGATGTGAGCTCGAGCCGTCCAGTAGGCTTTCTTGAGCGGACAGGCGCCAAGGAGGCCGTCCGCCACGGCGTGCATCGACTCACCCTTGAAGACGCTCTTTGGTTTCGGAAGGAATCTCTCGATGGGAAGAAGCTTCTCTCCGCTAATGTACACCTTGTCGTTCTCCTTGAAGGATGTCGCGACCATGCCGGGGTCCATCTTGATGGTAAAGTACACCTCGTTGATCGGACCGAGAATCTCGTCGACTTTGCCGATCTGGGATTTGTTCTCGAGGCTGAGACACGGGGTTGATAGGGTGAAGGAGAGATCAGCCTCTGCTCGCTCGCCATGAGCGACGCCATGTTGCCGCCGTTGGCGCGCCGGCCACTCACAAGATGGGCGCGTTGAAGTAGGGGACGTGCTTGGGGTCGGTGGACTGGCAGAGCATCTCGCCCTCTACGGCGTGGCAAAAGGTGCCCATGGGCTGGACGTACTCTGGAGGTCCGGCGTTGGCAAAGCCACCCCTTCCACCGCCTCGACCGCCTCTGGAGCCGTAGCCCCGGTCGCCTCCGCCGCCTCGGCCACCAAAGCCACCGCCTCGACCTCCTCCTCCGCCTCCGCCGCGTCCTCCGCCGCGGAACGACATGTCAAGTGCTTGTCGGGTTGTGTTGAACGCAGTAGAGCGAGTTGAATCAAGAGCGGCAGGCGTTTAATCCTATGCCGTGCCGGTAGGCCTGAATGCAAATGAGTGTCAGGCGAGGTGGTGATGGGACCCTGGGTCGCCGCTGTTGTGCAGGCAGCGTGGATCTGACGGGAGCCGGCTAGTTTCGAGCAAAGCCGATGACGAGTTGGCGATGCTGAAGGCGAACGAAAGTGTGGAAGGGTGGTGGGAGATGAATCTCCAATGAAACCCTCTTGTGTGCGGCGGTATGGTGGGAGTGGTCGACGTCGTCGGAAGGAGTATTGGTTGGCCTCAAGCCGGGCGGTCACGCCTGCGCCGCAAGCCAACAAGGCAGTGAGCGCCCAGGCAGCCCACAGCCCGCTGCCCGCTGCCCTCCGGCCCCGCCCAAATTTTCGGCAATTTTTTTTTCTCTTCTTCCTGGCTGCCAGGCTGCCTGCCAGGCTCAGGCTCCGGCGCCTGCCCCACTACTCGCTTTCTCGCTTCCGACTCGCAGAGGATCGGCCCCGATCCACCAAGCAATCATCGGGATCTTCTGGAAGTGCCCCGGCTCCTTGAGATCGGGCCAGGCTGGCTTCTCCACATGAGTATCGAGTCTTTACGGTTCAGAGGCCCTCGTAGGCTGCCTGTTCTTCGGCCCACCAACTTTGGGTGTTATTTCTTGGCTCCACCAGCATCCCCGCTTGACGTCTAGCCACACGCTCACACGCCTCGATGCGCTCCCTCCTCCCCATCAACGGACACGCCTGAAGAGCATGTCGATCTCGGACCTGTACAACATCAAGTCGAGCATCGCTCGCTCCCGAGAGACTTCGCTACTCTCGCTCCCGGACCCCACCTCATCCACCGGCATCACGTCCAGGCTGTGCAACATGTGCGTCACCTCTCCGCCTCTTGGCCCTCCGAGTCAGCTCCCCCGCTGAAGCGTGTCTGCACCGTTCGCGACCCTCTGACTCCCGCCAGATGCTACGCCAACCGCGCCGCCTACACGTGCCCGAGTTGCAACGCCCCTTACTGCTCCCTCGCCTGCTTCCGCTCCGAGGCGCACCGCGAATGCTCCACAAGATTCTCCGTTGCAACGCTCCGTTCCGAGCTCGCACCCGAAGAAGTCATCGCAGATGACGCCGAAAGGACCAAGACGATGGACATCCTCCGACGGCTGCAGGACCCCACGCTGCCCGTCGACGAAAGCGACGACGACGACGATGGCCAGGACGACGGCGAGCAGGACGCTAGCTTCGGCGGCCGTGAGGTCAGCACAGACGAGCTAGGTATGTACGCCTGTGGACTATCCTCTCCGCATCATATGCGCCTTCTTCATCCTCACACTCCCCCGCGCGTCTTTGCCCGCACATTGTCTTGCCACAGATGCCATGTCGCCAGATCAGCTCCTCGCTTTGCTCAGCCCCGACGAGCGCCAAAAGTTTGAGCTTTCCCTCTCGGATCCGCAGAGGGCGCAGCAGCTGATGGACGAGCTGGAACGCAAAGCCGCACGCCTCGCTCTGCCAGCCGGCTCCATCAGTCCGAGCGTCTCACTTCCAGAAATGACCCCGTCTTCCCTGGTCCAGCAGCGATCGGTCAAAAGCGACGAGTTCGAGCCGCCAGTCGCCAGCATCTGGCAGCAACAGGCTTGGTGGGAGACATCCGACCTTTCTCCCGTGCCGCCCAAGCTGCTTGGAGACCCGGACCCCTTCAGACTGTTCGCGACCGCCATCCGCAAGATTCTCACTGCCTCCCCAGCTTCGTCGGCCCTCTCTACACCTGAGAGGGCGCCTGACCTTAGCTACAATCTACTGGCCGTGTTGTGAGTCAAGCTGAAACAGGCGCTGTCAGGATCTGGCGTCGAGGACAGCATTGGTGCTGATGAAGACTCATTCTCGACCTCGCGATCTACGTGCTGGATTGACTGCCCGTCAGGACGGCCTATGCCTACATCCTCCGACACCTCAATCAGACCAGCCTCTCATCTCTGCTGCCGCAGCCCACTTCCTTGGAATCCTCAAAGGCATCAGCAGCGCAGTGGTCTGACGTGGTCCCTTCTCGCGACCCGGCGGCGCTGAACAGAGCGGGAAAAGAAAAAGAAGACGACGACATGCCGCCCCTCGAGCCCGACATCCCTCCTTGTACCGCATCGCCAACTCCACTCCGGCAGTCAGCATCACGAGACAATACAGCCCGAATGCCTCTTGCTGCCTGTACGTCAGCATCGAAAGAGACGGCACCACCTCGCAACGACGGATCCTGGCAGCGTGTTCAGACGGGCCTTGAGGCCTTCCAGCTGCTAGACCAGCTCACGCCCTTTCTCACCGCGCTGCCGGCGTCGCCAGTGCGATCGCCAATCTCGAAGCAATCCTTCGCAAAAGACTCGTCTGGCATGCCTTCCGACCTGAGCCGCCTCGTGCTCGAAAGTGCCAACGACGCATCCTTGTTCCTTCTGGCCAGGCTTCAAGAGGATCAGGCGGGCGATAATGTGAGTGGGAGACAGGCGTCTGGCCGCGCACAGACAAGCGCGGGCAAGAGTAGTGATGGGGCGAAGGGCAGGGCAGATAGCTGACCTCCTTTGTACCTGTCACCGTGCCGCAGGCTGCCAAGCTCCTGCTCCACCTGCTGCGCGACGTCGAGCTTCTTCTACAGACGGAGAAGGTTGTTGCTGAGCCCGACGGTGCGCCCCGATACCATGTCGCCTCAACCATTCAGCCCGAATCGGCCCGCTTTTCCGCGTCGCAACACGCGCTCGCCCTCAACGCCATCTGGGACATCTTCCACTTCCTCGAGCGCCTACCGTCATCCTTGACTGTGCACATGCCTCAAGACGGCATCGACCCTCAAGTTCCCGCCGCCGCTCTGCAGAAGAGGGCGAAAGTGGCAGGGCAGAAGCTCGCGTACTATGCGAGCAAGGCCTTCCTCACACCGCAAGATCGATCGGTGCACAGCGGTGCTTGTGCCGCAAAGCTGCTAGCAAGCGCACAGTTGGAGATGCAGAGGTTGGCCTCCGAGCTACGGGATCAAGACGACGCTGCCCGTCACGCAGCGATGGCAAAGGTGCTGGTCAGGGATCACGATGCCGTCAGCATTCTGCCGACCAGCTGAGAGCATGGTTCCGTTCATCGATCGCATGTCGTCGGCGGCCGCAAAGTCGTTTGGGCGCTCAAGTCACTGGAAAGACATGCGGGGATACAGGTGTCATCGCCGCGAGAAAGTCGAGATTCTGGGAGTGCGAGTGCCATCGCCGACGCTTGGCACGCGACCCCGTGCCGGCCTGTCGCTCAGGTTGCGTCCGCATCTCGTCTGCGTCTGGATCGCGTTGCTTCCCTCACAGCCGCTGGTTTTGGGTTGGGCTCTGAGCGCTCGTCGGGCTTTGGACTGCGAACACAGTATTGCCGCTATATGGCGCGATCCGCAGTCAGGACCTCGCCTCATCGTACTGACCGAGGATGAGTAGGACCGCAAAAGGAGGTAGTTAAAAGACGCGGCGGAGGCGTCAGCTCGCATCCGGAAATGCTTTCCTTGCGGTGAATTGCTGCGCTCAGCAGCCGACCTCGCCTCGCACCGTCTCGCACCGCGGACTCACGAGGATGTGCATGGCTGTGTTGAGCGGCAGCGGGTTCTCCTGTCCAGTGCTGCTGACGAAGCTGATGGCCTCATCCCTGCCACTCGGTCCTCGGTTCGTCACCGTCCTGGGCTGTCCGGAAGGGGCGAGGCGCAGGTTGCGCAGCTTTAGGATCTGGTGATGTGCGCGATAAAGTGAGAGAGCCAGGTGGCCATGGCTTCAGTGCTCTGGGACTGAATAGCGCCGCGTGCAAGCTAGACTGCGAGATTCGATCTTTACCTCACGGGCCATGGCGGGAAGCGCCACGTCTAGGATCGCCTGACTAGGTCGGTCGCCGAGGCCAAAAGTCAAAGGCGACGAGTTGGCCGGGTCAAATGCATCGGCCTCGTCGTACACCTTGGGGTCACGGTAGACGGCGCGGGCAGGGATAAAGACACCGTCGCCGGCCTGAAGCTGCACTGTGTTGCCCTTGCCGTCCGACACGTTGACCGGGCCGACTGCGAAGCGGGCTGGGAGCGGGGTCTCGCTGGCCGGCGCGAGGGGGAGAAAGCGTAGCAAGCAAAGTCGGGGTATTGGGTCAGCCCGCTTCCGATGAAGCGCATGCCTCTTGCTTTGAGATCGCGGAATGCTGCTCACCTGCTGATCCGACAAGCCTCCAAGATGTAGGAGCGAAAGTCGGCGGCCGAGCCGGGATCAGAGCGGAGGGCGAGGCTGTGCATCCTGTGGTGAATCTCGCGGTTGTCCGGCTGAACGAGCCACTGGATGGCTCGCATCAGAATGAGGGTCTGACAGCTGGTCATGGCCACCATCATGCGGAAGCAGCCGTTGACGATCTCCTCGTACCGCTTGCCCGTCGCGAACAGCTGGCCGTAGAAGTGCTTAGCGAGCTTGCCAGGCGCAAGATTGTCGGGTCCACTGACGATGTTGGAGAGGCCCTGGAGGACCGCAACGAGGGGCGCGAACAGCCGCATAAGGCTGTAGACGCGGGCGCGGACGATGGTCATCAGAGCGCGCGTCGCCGACTCGGACTGCTCCTCGAGCTTCCAGCTGTGGTGACCGACGAAGCTGAACGAGCCGGCCAGATCGAAGGCGAGCGGGCGGGCGAGGGCAAGGTGGAGCTCGCGCGGCGACATGCCGACAGCGCCGCCGTTGTGCTGGACCGGTAGCGCGAACAGGGTGGCAGTAAACTGGGCCGATACGAGGTTGATCACGTCGGTCAGGTCCAGCATGCGCGTCTTGCCATGCGTGTGGTAGCGGATGCTGTTGGCCTCGATCGCCTTGGCCATGCTTGTGGCGTAGAAGTCGGCGACCTCGTCCTTCCAGCGCGGGATCGAAAAGAGGGCGGATGCCATCATCTCCTCGTCGTAGCCGTGGCCCGGCAGGGTGGTCATGTAGCGCTCGTTGACGAGCACCTCTTTGCAGGCGGCGTACGACTCAATCGTCAGCCAGCGGTGCGGAGGCGTCGGATAGGCGGTGTCGTAATGGTCGAGCGTGCCATCGCGGCGGAGGATCTCAATGGTACGGCTGGGAATCATGAAAGGGTAGAGCGCATACGTCGAGTTGTACTTGTACTGGCCAGGAAGCGTCGTCATCAACAGCTTGCCGATCGAGCCGCGCGAGCCAGGCTGGGGCGTGTTGGCGTATTCAAGGCCGTACGTCGTCATCGTCGATGTTGAATAGTCGAGCGTGTAGAAGCGATCGCCGCGGGTAAGGGCCGCCGCGTCGCTGAGGATAGCCCGCGAGATGGTGTAGCCGGGACAGAGGCCGCTGCCAGTCATGCTCGGCTTGGCCTCCTCGGCCAGCAGGCCAGGGAAGAGCTCGAGGTTGTCGATGTCGCCGTAGAGCATCTCGGCTGCCTTGGCAACGTCGGTGTCATTGTTCCACTCGGCGAACGACTCGAGCTTCTTGAGGCCGAGGAATGAGCGGAACTCGTTGAGCGTGCAGAGCGCCCAAGTTTCGCGGGCCTGGATCTGGCCCAGCATGTCGACGGCGCGGAACCAGGCAGGACTGCCTCGGGCCTTGAACGCCGCCGCCACCTCGCACTGCGGAGGGCCGGTGGACAATGACGGTGGAGAAGGGCGTGAGGATCAGCTCGTACATGTCGGCCTCGCTCGCTCGCTTCGCGGTCATTCGCGGCTCGCGGACCCGACCCGGACTCTGGCGCACGCCGTCACTCACTGTCGCGTCTTTGATGATCTTGGCCAGTAGATCGTCCGAGTACTTGCCGTCGCGGTCCCTGGGCCAGTCGTGGACGTTCCACTCGCTCGGATCCTTGCCCTCGTAGCCCTGCTTGATCTGTGCCGCAAGGCGCTTGAAGTCGTCCGGCGTCACGTCGTCAGGACGCTTTCCCGGCATGCGTTCCGAAAACATCTGGTCCATCCACTTTTCATCTGCCATTGAGACGGTCGAGTGCCATCTGGACACGCATCAAGCGAAGCCGATTCATGAGGCGCCGACAAGAGCCAGAGGTTCATCAGCACTGCCTTTGCGGCTAGGGCCAGGCGGATCCCTCCCTCTGAAGCAGGCCACGCGATGACCGCCCAGAAATCAGGTTCTTCTCACCTGTACAGCACGGAGAACTCCGAGGCGACCGCGTTGCCGACACCCCTGGGCACCTTGCCCGGCTGGCCGGCGTTGTGGATGTCTGGCAGCGGATTGACGAAAAACTCGGAGGTCGGCGTGTTGAGGATGGCAGGAATGTAGCTGCGAAGGATGATGTTGATGAATAGGCCACAGTTGCACAGCCTCGCTGCAGCGGTCCGGGGTGGAGATCGTCGCCCTGGTTAGCGGCTGGACATGGAGACAGGAGGATCAAAGGGGCCTGCTCGATGATGACGTACCGATGTTGAAGAGCTTCTCATCGAGCTCCTTTGGCTCGAGGCTGTCAAACTGATTGCGCTCGTTCACCTGCAGCAGCCGCTTGGCGATGTAGTTGTGCGAGCGGCTGAAGAGCACCGCAAGCGCCGAGGTCGCCGGAGGCATCATTGCCAGCCTCCAATCCGAGATGACGTCGGGCTTCAGCAGGCCCTCCTGATGGGTTCGTGCCTTGTGCATCGTCTCTGCATCGCTGCCATACACGACCTGCAGATCGAGATACGACGAGTGATTGTTGATGGCCGGATTCTCGTGCCGGGTGGCGAAGCTGTGAAGGACGATCGATGGCGCCACGAGCAGGGACCTGGGTTCGGATCAAGAGCAAAACCGCGGACGTGCGAGGGTCTCCCGTCCCTGGCGACTCACATGTCGTGGATGATGATGTTCGCAAAATGGAACAACAGGGCGCTAATGCCCGACGGATGAGGCACGCTGCAGCAGACGAGAGCGTCAACATTGGGAGAGGAGCATGATCAGTCAGTCGAGTCGCGGACCACGAAAGCGACGTCGTGGCCTGGGAGACCGCCCTCACAATTTGTCACGAGCCAGAAGGAGGTCGAAGACCGTGCCGACATCGGGAACGTCGATGGGCTCAGGCTGGGTACGCGCCACATTGCGGGCGTACTGGTCGGACCGAGGCGAAAGATGGGCCGGCAGGTGCCGCAAAGGGTCAGGCAGATGTAGCCAGCCGTGCGAGCCAGCGAGACATCGACCGCGGCTCGCTCACCGGCTTGCTAGAGCGGCCGAGGTCCGGTACGAAGAAGTTGTTGTGCGACCCGTCCGGCCGGCGGACACGCGATCTCTCATCCATGAACGACACCGGAGGGTGCGGCAGGTCGCCCCAGATGATGCCGATGAGGCTGTTCGAAAGCGTGCGGCTGACCGGCGAGTCCTGAAAATGAGGCGTTCGATACGAGGAGGCGACAGGTCACCCCGAGACAGCGAGGTCAGGGCGCCAACAAGAGCCGCGGACGCTGTGCAACGCCAGCATGAGGTTCTACTCACCGGAGGCAGCATCGACAGGATTGTGATGACTTGCTCAAGCAGCAGCTTGCGGTCATCAAGACCCCCTCCGGTCAACACCGATGCCTATGCAGAGGTGCGAGGGGTGGGTAATAGGTGGTGCAACGACCGAGCATGAGCGCAACATCCGGCTCGGCGCCGAGGAGCAAAAGCTCGCCTTATCCCGCCACTCACGACTGCACCCGGGATCATGGAAACCAGCTTCGCATCATCGACGAGGCGGTTCTTCTTGACCATGTCGGCGAGGTGGCTGATCTGCTCGAGTGGACCCTGCATCGACTGGGCCGTCTGCTGGTAGGCAGTGGTGGCAGTCACTGCCGCGCGGTCCTGCAGCTCTTTAAGGTTCATGGCCGCCATGCCGGGCGCTTTGGTCGACGCTTGAGCCATGCTCTGCAGCTGGTCCTGCAGATAGTGGGCGATCTGTCAGCACGCCGGCAGAGGGAGGGGCGGGACGAAATGTAAGACATTGATTGACTGAAGATGTCGGCACGCGTCACCGACCAGAGACCTCGACTCTAAGCTGGAAAGGGTCGACAGCACTGGCCGTCGGGCCAGACACGAGGACCGTAAGCACACAGGTACCGTTGCGGCCTTCAGCACATACCTGAGCCATGATGAAACGATCGTGGTGCACGCTCGATGACCCCGATGATGGTGGTTGGACTTGAGCCGAAGCTGGCGGATGTGGGTTGGATCAGCTGGGTGGAGCTTTGATGATCGTGCTGGCGGAGGATTAGACGGGCCGAAAGTGGGCGGCGAGAAGATTGGGATGGCGGACGCTGGCGAGAGGGGATGGGGAGGAAAAGGTTGGAGCGGGGAAAAGCCCCGGCTGATGGCGACCGGGCGTCTCTTTATATCTCTCTGTTGGGCCGGGCTGAACAAGGTGACCGACTCAGGCGCCTCGGATGGGGGCGAGTTCCTCCCCCGCAGCGGCAGCAGCAGAAAAACCAGCACCGCCCGAGACGACAATAAGCCGAAGATGGCCGGCTCGCCCTGTCCACGACCTGACCTCACTGCCCGTCCGCCTCTTTCTCCTCAGCTTTCTAGCCGGAACCCTCCCGAGGAGCACCGCCGGCGCGCAGATTTTCACATGCTGCCCCAGATGGTATCGATCGCCAGGACACATCGGCGATAGGTAGCGAGAGCAGTCGGCCGGTGGATGGCCAGCAAGCTAAGCCGTAGGCCCGGGGAGACCGCCATGAGTGTGTCGGAGCGTCGTGGCTGACGGCCTGGCTTCGCTTATATCCCGGCCAGATAAGCCTCGCTGCTTGTCTCGTAACTTCCGTCACGCCTTGATCCCGCCCGGCCAGCAGACCCGGCTCGATGCAGGAGAAAGGGTTTGGCTCAGGCTGCGGTCCAATTATATGCGATGGAGCCAAGCGGGCGTGAAGCCCATCGCGTCGACGTCAGCGAGAGTGTACGTAGTACTCTGCTCCAGAGCGCGACCGGCGCAGCGTTCCTCATCGATGCTCAGACTTAACCTCAAACGGTCGCTCTAATCCCTGCCTGCCTCTCTCTCGATCTCTCGTCGACCAGACGGGTCGTGGCCGAGCAGGTGGCGGCGCGCCGCGGGGCTGCCGCGAGCTTATTCCTTAGGAAAGGTCGCTCGATCTGTGTGCATCGAGCCTGGGTCGGCTCCTCGGCCTCTCGGGGCGATGTCTGCCTGCCTGCATTTCATCTCGTGAGGCCGGCATGAGGGCTTGTCGGTCTTCGCCGACGCGGGAGTTTCCGGTGTCGGAGCTGCTGCCGGGGCAGGCTTAGCCAGCCAGATAGGCACCGTCCGGCAAGCCCGACCTTCCAGTCTTCTTATCTTGCTTGCTGGCCGCTTGGTGTTGCTTGCTTTGCTTTGCCTTGCCTTGCCTAGCCTAGCCTGCTTGTTCAGCCGGCCTGGCCTGCTTGCTTGGCTCCTAAGTTACGTCGTAGCTGAGAGAGCGAAGCTTCGTGCGTCTGCCGCCGTGCGAGGCAGGCAAGGCGGATCAGGGTCGCCCTGACTGGGCCTGCATCGCGCGCACGCGCCACCTTGCTGGGGCCGCTTCCATTTTCCCGGCGCTGCGAAATTGCTCGCGTGTGCGGTGGTGCCCGCCGGGTGCGGACCGCCATCTGTGGCCCGGGTGGTCTCCCTCCACCACCACTGCTACCATACCCGCAACCAACACGTCCTTCGCAAGCCGGATACTTTCCGCATCCTCGATACGGCACCTCGCCCTCAGCTCTCGCGACACCTCGAATCGCATAGTCCATCAGATATCGTCACGCCAGCCGGGCTCCTCTTTCTGTGAGTGCGAAGGTGACGTGCGGTCGGAGAGCAGGGGGGGCATGGCCTGCACGCTGAGGGAGGAAACCCTCCCTCACCAACGCTGCTGGCAGACGAGGTTGTCGCAGCTATCGCTGACTGCTCTACTACTACACTTTCGACCTTCGACCTGAGCAGAGATTGAACATAGCGGCTGCTCGTTTCAGTTCGTTGCACCCGGCAAGATGGCCAAAGGTGAGAACCCCGCTGGGCCCCTCTCGTGAAGCGAGGTGGCTGCGACATTGATACCGCTGGCGACGACGAAGACGACGCCGACCGATGGCTAAACCCGCGCCCCTCATCTTCTTGACCGGATTGCTTCCGCTCGCATCCGTCGGCTCGACCCGACCGGAACAGTACCGCGCAACTTTAGGCTTCTTGAAGAGCTGGAAAAGGGCGAGAAGGGCATCGGCGACGGAAGCTGCTCTTACGGAATGGCCGACGGCGATGATCTGAGTGAGTAGCAGCCCGCGCTGTTCGATACCTCGGAGCGAACCTTCTCCCGTCGAGAAGGGTCATCATCGTGGTCTATCGAAGCATGCCTGATTGGTGCGAGTGCTGATGCCGGCTGGCTCGATTGTCCCTACCTCCTCTCGCCCATCCCAGCGATGACCAACTGGAACGCCACAATCATCGGCCCGGGCCACTCGGTCTTTGAGAACCGCATCTACTCGCTCAAGATCCACTGTGGTCCCAGCTATCCGGACAAGGCACCCGAGGTCAGCTTCTTGACCAAGATCAACTTGCCTTGCGTCAAGGCCGATGGAAAGGTACGTGGTGCGGCTCTTGCCACCCATGCTCGCTGAGCCGATGCCACTCCACCAGCATCACCGATGGTGCTGACGCTGTATGGCTTCTGACACGGAACGCGGCCCCGACGCCTGACTCGATGCAGGTTGATGCATCGGCGCTTCCCATCTTTGCCAACTGGAACCGCGACAACACGATCGAGACAATCCTGCTGTCGCTGAGGCGGTGAGTGACTCTTCTACGTCTCGAGCGCACGGTCCCCGTTCAACGAGCGTGCCGCCTGCTGACAGAGCCGCTTTGCTCCCACTTGCGGTCAACGGGGCTCGGGTTCAATCGCAGTGAGATGGCCTCGTCGAGCAACCGAAAGCTTCCTCAACCGGCCGAGGGGACCGCCTACTAGACGTTACCGCTTCAACGGTGACGGTGAGCTCCCCCTCAGCTCGGATGTGGCATTCAAGATCCAGCGTGCCAATGTACGGCCCACGGAGGGTTGTCTGCGCAGATGTTCCGCGAATCACAAAGGGACTAGTTCTCCCGCATCTGCCTGCCGGTACGCAGAGGAACCGGTGTCTTGCGCTCGTTGAGCGCCGGCAGTTGTGAAGAGGCTGGCCTGCTGCGAATAAGGGAAATCTCATGCATGGCGCGGCCAGAGTAGAGCATGTAGACTTCATTTGCTGAATCGTGCGGTCCGCCCGCCGACGGACGGCGGTCGGAGGCGGCGCGGCACGGAGCGGCACCCACCGCCCTGCTTACAACTAGCCTTCCGTCCTGCGCAAGGCGGCACAAGTCCTGGCTTGTGCAGAGAGGCGGCCGCTGAGCTGGCCCAGCCTGAAGCAAGGTTTGATCCTGCGCCTCCTCTCTGCTACAATCCGGCCGTCATCGATTCCGCCCGCAGCGGCGCCGCCCATAAAGCCTGCACTCTGCGCCGATCCCTTCCTTCCCTTCCTAGACATCTCTTTCCTCGACCTCGCGACCGCTTCTACATCCCTCTGCCTCGCTCGAGTTTGCGGGGTCCGCAGTCCACGTCGCCATGGCTAGCTACTTGAGCAGCACTGCTCCTTTTGAGAGCTTCAAGGTGACGCTGCACCACGCCAACCGCTTCCTCTCCTCGCAGGCCCAAGAAGCCTTCCATGATCATGCGGGCGGCGTTGTCGCCCCGGCGTCGTTGCTCAAGCTGGAGGTACTCGGCGGGTCCACTTGGAGCGTCGAGTTCGCGCCATTCATCGCCGTCAACGCTCGCGCTGCGCGTCTGGTCGATTCGCCCACGCTTGTCGGCGGTGAGACCCCTGCCGTGGGTGAGCCGTCGCCGTCCGTTGTCCGCGACGCGCCAACCCTTTCTGACGGTCGCAAGCCTGGCATCACGGTGCGGCTCAGTGCCGTCCCGACAAAAGCAGAGGAAAACGTCGGCGGCTGGTGCCGTCACGTCGATGTCCGCATCGATGCCATCCTCAACGACTTCCGCAGTCACAACCATCCCTCCGCCACGGCGAGCCTGAAGCGGTCGTCGGTCTTCTTCGGGGCCAACGGCCTCGATCGTGACTTCGAGTTCCCCGCGTCCATGGGACTCTTCTATCCGGAAAGGACGGCGCACGGCTTTGACATCGACTTCGTCTTCACCTTGCATGAGCCGGGCCTGGTGGCGGTGCCCTCTCCTTGGAGTCCGGAAGTGAAGCATCAGCCGGCAGGTCGGAACGGCAAGCATGCACAGCCTGGCTCATCGATCGCTCCAGCCGCGACGGCCGCGCAGGACGGCGTCAGCGATCGTGCTAGCATCCGTGCGTTCGGCCTCGTCACTCTGCCGGAGGCGACGCTCGACACGATTGCTTCGACCCTGAACGGAGGGGCTTGGGGCGACGTCTGCTTCGTCCTCAAGGACCCCGGCTCGAATCGCGATTTTGCCTCCGTCTACGGCAACTCCAAGCTTATCGGCAGCCGCTCGCTCCATCTGCGTCGCCTGATAGAAGAGGCAGGCAGGAGCAGTGTGCAGGACGCGATCGAGGCCTTGATCGATGGCAAGAGATCGGCCGACAAAGGTCTCGAGCAGCAGCGCTTTCCTCATGAGGTGGCCGACTCAGACTACGGACTCGTTCTCAATGGAAGCGGCGCCGAGAGTCCACGCGGATCCCAGGCGAGGTCTTCGACGCCGATGTCACCCTCCTCGCGCTTCACCGAGCAGGACGTCGACGGAGGACGCGTGGATTGCTACCGAGCCGACCCAGGAGCCCCGAGTCCCGCTCGCAGTCACCCGAGCACCGGCCGCACCCTCGCCTTCGGCCGCTTCCGTCCACGCAAGCTCAAGCAACAGCACAATGCCACGCTGGATGCGAGCATCGACTTGTTCGACCTCGGCCTCGACGAAGATCCCACCACCACGGTGACGCGCTCCGCAGCAACGAGCTCCGATCCGCTTCGAGGGGCGACGCCATGCGACGGCATCGGGGCGGGGCAGCCCATCAGATACATCGCCATCCGGGACGCGGCGTTCACCACGTTCAGCCGCGTCGTTCTGTGGCTCGAAACGGATCAGATCGTCTTCGCTCCTCTCTCGAGCGCTCAGCAGGTCGCAGAGGACGAGGGCGTCGCCAGTGTCCCTGGTTTGCGCCCGACCCCGTACGGTGCCACGATGCCCACCGACTCTCCGTGGCAGACCCGCGACGGCTTCGTTCAGGCCTACCTCCGTTCTCACCCCGACCATCCCGCGCCCGCCAGCGCCAAGTCCGTCTATCGACTGGCGGAGACGTTCCAGCTGACGGAGCTGCAGGATCTCGCTCTTGCCCACATCTGCTCGCAGCTGCGCCCGTCCAATGTCCTCTGCGAGCTGTTCAGCCCCTTTACGCTGCGCTATCCCAAGGTTCGTGAGATGCAGCTCGAGTACGCGCTGCAGCACTGGGAAGAGATCAAGCAAAGGCACCCGAGCAACCTGGACAAGATCCTCCAGCAGAGCCACTTCCTTCCCGAGGCGTCGAGGCTGCTCGGTAGGATGCTTGGCATGGCAACGATGCAAGTGGCCAACAGGGAGGAGCAGAGGGCGATGCCATCGCAGCGCCACGTGGAAGAAAGATCGACGCAGCAGGCGGTCGCCGCTGCCAATCGCTAGGTGAATCCCAGCTCGCCGCAGCAGCAGCACATGTACTTGTCGAGATCCGACGTCCTAGTTCCAATCTTGATCGCCGCCCCTCGAGCTGCAGGGAGAACTCACGAACGAGGTCATCGTCCATTGCAAGATCCTCATTGCGATGCATTGCGGTGAGCCGAGCATCGCCTCTTGGCCCCTCCCCGGGCGTGCCAGACTCAGCTCGTCAGGAGGCGACTGCGCTCGACGTGCCTTGGTTTCCGAGCCGCTTTGCCTTCTCCTTTTCCTCCTGCTCTCTGCGGCGCTGTCGGCGTCGGATCCTGGCCTCGTCTTCCTCGATCCGCTCACGCTCCGCCAGCCGCTCGCTGTAGTATTGTCCGCTCTGCAACAGAATCACGCCGACCAGTGCGACCGCGAGGACGGCGTGCGAGCTGGCGATCTCCCGCAGAGGGGTGAAGGTGGCGTCGCGAGCATCAACCGTACCGGAGCGGCCGCTCGAGGACATGGGAGGTAGCGAGCGCAGACCTGTGCGTTTTTGTCGGTGCATCGAGCGGGTAAAGCAGGTCAGCACGGCTTGGAGGACAGACGAGGCACAGGCAGGGCCCAACGGGGCGCCCTAGCTGCTGCAACGACGAGACGCGGGCAAGCGACTCACTCGGAACGACCTTCTGGTAATAGAGGACTCCGGAAGCGCCGAAAAGGACTGTGTCGATGGGTTCGAGGGGGAGCGGGCCATGAAGCTATCCGGTCACCGGCGTCGTACTGGCGGAGGATCGGGCGCTGCGGAGGTGTGTACGTACAGAGGCTGGCGCCGTCAAAGAGCCAGTTGCTCTCGCGGCCTCCGAGTGCCTTTGAGATGAGCAGCAGCGCGCCGATGAGCCCAACGCCGTGGAGCGCCTTGCTGAAGTTGGCCGACATATCGACCATGGTGTTCTGGTAGTAGACGTGCGCGGTCCTGAGCGAGTCGTGCGTCACTGGAGTCTGCCACAAGATGAGATGGTCCGCCGTCCAGTGGATCGCCAGGGTTCCTAGTGGAGCGGGGGGTTGGATTGAAGGAGAGGGATTTCAGCCGGTGAAGTCGTGCGAGATGGTTGGCAAAGTGGCCTTACGGCGGCGGACCTACCAAGAAGGAACGAGGTCGATCCGATAATCAGGCCGGTTCGGAAACCCATCGTGTCTCAGGGTTCCGTTCGGTATCGCAGGCGCTCGAAGGTGTCTAGGGGTGGAAACGCAGAGTTGGACAAGCCTCGGAGCAAGCTTGTTGGCGAATCGTGGCGGACGAGCAGATGGAAGAAAGGGGGGGGAGGGGGGTTTGGGGAAAGAAGGAGCCGGCGGTGACAAGACCAGACGTGTGGAGTCTGGCCTCTCCTCCTCTCCAGGCCCGGTCGCTTCCAGCGCCTGACCCGATCCTGCGCTGGCTTTCACGCGGTCACGGGCGACTAGAGCTCAGCCCAATAATCGGGCTTCCAGCCTGATTTTCAAATCGGCTGTCATCGGCTCCGCATGGCCCCAGCCAGCCTCGAAGCGCAGTGTAAGTCATAGTCTGCAAGCGAGGACGGCTCGTGCATGCATGTTTGATGCAGGCCAGCCAACGGCCAGCAAGCTGGATGGCAGGGCCGAAGAATTAGAATACATAAATATCAAAATAATGCCAGGCAGGAGGCCTAGAGCCTGTGGTCGTCCCCGCTTGCAATAATATGCCTACCGGCGTACCGAAGGTCAAGCGAGCAGCGGGATCTGCGAGCAGAGGCCGGCCGTCTATGCTGCTGCTGCTTGCTGCTGCCGCTGCGCTACAGATAGAGTAGCTGGCCCCAACGGGCCGAGATGGACGTTTGTGGAACGTGCGTCATCGTGCCGAAGCTCGGATGGGCCCCTTCGGCTGGGCTGGCTGCCGTGCTTTGGGCAGGAGTTCAAGAGTCTGGCCGCTCACTCCATCCACAGCCTAGACACGCCCGTACGTTCCGCATCAGAGCCCAGGCCGGAAGCAGAGCGCCGTGCGGCAGGCACGACCAACCTCTCTCCCCCAAATCCCTCTTCGGACCCACCACCATCAACCCGCCCGTCGCACACGCAGATCCCCTCCACGTATCGTGCACCTCCTTTGCGCGGCCACCACACTCTCTTTGACCTTCCTCTCGCCATCCATTCCCAGGCACAAACACATACCACCTGCACACCCGCACACCAACAATCATGGCGCCCATCCTCAACGTGAGTACACCAGCCATGGCTTCCGTGCCAGGCCAGCCTTGGATCGGCGCTTTCGGATCCATCGACCAACCCTTAACCTTGCGTCGCGCCATCCTGCCAGTTCCACGCCGGCTCGCTGCCGAGCTTTGCCCTCAGGCTCAAAGCAGACGACAACCTTGAGTCGTGAGTGGGCAACACCATCCAGACACCAGGCGTCCCATGGACCCAGCAAACGCTCGTTTTGGCGCCGAAGCCGGCCCGCTGACGCAGAACTTGCTTCCGCCCAACAGCCTCAAGTCTCGAGCTGCGAAGAAGATCCGGCTGCAGCTCTCGGACGGCATCCCCCTCGTCATGAAGTACGGCTGGGGCGCTGAAAGCTACACCCTCGAGGACGGTGAGTCGAGTCGATGCTTTCTACCACCGGCCTCGGAGAGCTCAGGCTCCACTCTGACGCCAAACTGATCCGAAACACCCGGCGACGCCCCTTGCCCTCACGCTCGGGCATCTGTTATAGGCGATGACTTCGACATCTTTCTCGAGCGCTTCGGAAACGAAAAAGAAGCCGATCGTGAGTGCTGCCTTGCCGATCGTATTCTTACTTTGCCTTGCCGCTGACGCCATTTGCCCTCTGTGTTGCACCTGATGGACCGCTTTCGACAACGTCGCAATCGCTTCAGTCTACCTCGAATCGCCCGAGATTCCTTCGCGCAGTGCTGCTGATTCGGATGATGGCACCATCGAGCAGGCGCCCAATGTCCCCGTCGTCGACGAGTCTACCTTGGTCCACAGGACGCCAGGTCGAGGCAAAGGCGGAGCAATCAGCATCCACCGCGTGCAGGCTCCCACGATCGCATCGGTCGATGAATTCACCGAGGCCGGCGGAGTCAGCGCCGGCGGCCGGGACTCGATCCTCTACCCGCCTCCGCGCGAGCCAGCCGCTCAGCCTGGCTTCAGCAAGCCCGTCGTCCCCGAGTATCCTTCGTCGACTTCGCAGCAGCAGTTCGACGCCGCCAGCGTCCGCACTAGCAAGACGAAAAAGACAACCCAGACGGCCGCCTCGAGCACACCGTCGCACAAGATTGCCTTCCAGGAATTCCACTCGCAGCTCGGCGTCCGCCTCCTCAAGGGCAGCATCGGACCCGTTCAGGACGTTCCAATGATGCTCAAGTCGGGGTACCGACACGTCTACGTCAGCCGCAGCTTTGCTCTGACGCACGGATTCATCCCCAAAGATACGACGCCCGGCACGTACGGCTTCAACGGCATCACCAACCTCGGCAAGTGGCCCGTCCAGGTGGGCTCCAAGGCAGTCCCGTGCACCGTGATGCTCGCCGAGGACAGCTACTTCCCCGTCATCCTTGGCCGCAGCTTCATGGAGAAGCGAGGCGTGCGCACCGATCCCGTCGACATGACCTCGGTCACCTTTATGGACAATGGCGAGCGCGCCGACGTGGAGGTCGTCGTGGTCCGCGACGAGCACGGCGAACCCGTTCCGATCCCTTGATTGCTTGGTCCTCCTTTCCACCATTCCGGCCGGGAAGCGAGCAGCTCAGATCGCATTCAGCTGCGATGGCCCGTTGTTGAAGACTTCCGCCGCCCGTCGTTGCCACCCACCCTTCCCTCTTGAACTTCCATCCCGTCTGACTCGATGAATAGGATATCCAGTGCCCCGTTCCCGATAAATGCTGACCTTCACCTCGCGAGAGTCATGAGTCATAGCTAGCAGCAAAGGGAACTCCCGATTTCTCCGATTCATAGCTAGCAGCAGGGCCAACCTACGATCTGGCAGATCGTAGCTAGGCGTAGCTTGTCTACGATTTTCAGATCGTAGATGATCCTTCTACACAAACGATTTATGGATCTGGACAACGCGTGTGGATTGTTCAGTCGTATACTACCTACGATTTCAGATCGTAGCTAGACTGGTCTCTACCTACAATTTTTCAGATCGTAGCCAGGGAATGATCAAAAATGCAGCTACGGTCAACTGGATCAGATAATGGCTTTATTGCAGCATGAAACGCTATCTAAGCTACTAGAAACGACGCTGACTGGGTAGCATGGCGTGGCAGTAATACTGCGATGGCAAGGAGACACTCACAGGGCTGGCCGGGGACGGCATCAATGGGTGGTGGCGGCGACACGTTGATGCAGGGCGCGGTGCAGCGCAGCGCGGAGCAGTCAATAGATCTGAGGAAGAGGAAGGAGCAGATGATCAGCGTGCAGCAACAGAGCGATGGCAGAAGAGCGCGGTGGCAACAATACTGACCAGAGTGAATGACAGCAGTGGCGCTCTTGATGACAGAGACAAGTTGGCATTGCTGCAGCTGGGGTATGCTGCTGGACGGCGGCAAGGGTGAGGGCAAAGGTGGAGCGCAATAAGGTGTCAGCGCTGATATTTGGTGGTGGCAGCACACCGTAGATCAATGCACTCACCCAAGTGGCATCGGAGAGTGCAACTCAAAGCTAGCAGCAGGATCCTGTGTGAAAAAAAAAATCGCACATGTACAATGATTTGAAGATCCAGCTGCAGCCAGCTTGTGCGACTTCTCAGATTGCAGCAGGCATGCGATCAGCTGCGATCTGAGATCCTGAATTTTTCCTGCGTGCGATCTGAAATCCACTCATAGTGGCCAGGATTTTAGATCGCACTTGTATAACAACTCTCAAATCCTGGATCGCACAGCCTGTGCGATAGAAAAAATCGGGAAATACTTTTGCTGCTAGCTATGAGTGGGGTTGTGACCTTGGCCCTCTTGGGCGGGGGTGGGGGCAGGAGCAAAGAGCCAGTTGTCGAGCTGGCCCTGCCCCTGCAACCCCTGCTGGCTGAGCCTCCTTTGTCGCTCCTCGAAGCCATGGTAGCGGTGGACATCATAGCTAGCGTCAAAGGGCACCTGGATTTTGGCCGTAGGCTCGCGTACGGCCTGAAATTGTGAAATCGGGGGTCATCTACGCTAAAAATGGCCGTAGGGCCACCTACGGCCAGAAAATCGGGGCTGTAGGGCTACCTACGGCCATTTGCTGAGGGGCAGCTACGGCATTTTGGCCGTAGGGGGCCCTACAGCCATTTTCTGAGGGGCAGCCACGGCATTTTTGGCCGTGGGGCCCCCCACAGCCTGGGCCAACCCTACCCTGCGCAGAAAATGGCCCTTTCTGCTTACGTCAGCTCAGGGGCCTGCTTGCGCGCGCGCTGGCCACCCGGCCCTTTGCCAAATCCATCCACCCGCCCGTCCCATCTCCTGCCCTCCTACCACCACCACCCGACGCCAGCCGCCAGCCACCCACCCACTCGGCCCAGCCATCCAGCCGCCAGCCGCCACCTGAGCCAGCCACCAGCCAACCGCCCGGCGCAGTTGCCTGGCCCTGCCCCCTCAGGCCAGCAGCCGCTGCCTGGCCCAGCCAGCCGCTCGTTCAGCGCAGCCGTCAGCGCAGCCAGCAGCCGTCAGCCAGCCAGCCGAGCCAGCCAGCCGCCAGCTCTGCCTGCCGCCCAGCGCAGCCACCCGCCAGCCCAATCCAGCCGCCTGGCAGCCAGCACCCGCCAGCCGCTCGCCAGCCCAGCCCAGCCGTGTGGCTCAGCTGGTACCCGAGCCAGCCAGCCAGCCAGCTGCCAGCCAGCCGCCGCCGAGCCAGCCAGCCAGCCAGCTGCCAGCCAGCTGCCCGAGCCAGCCGCCAGCCGGCCCAGCCAGCCACCCGGTGAGCCGCCAGCTGCTGCTGCTCCGCACTGCTTGCTTTCACCCTGCTGCCGCCGTCAATCATCGGAAACGTCGGAGAAGGGCCTCTCCGACGTTTCCGATGATTGAGACCACTGACTGCCGTGCTTCTGCTCCTTTCCGCCTGCGTGCACAGCCCTTGCCGATGCCTGCTGGTCTGCTGCCGCTCTGGTGAGTTGACTGTTGCCGCTCTTCTTCTGCCGCTCCGCTGCGCGCTGTTGCTGACTCCTTTGCTCCCCTCCACTTGCCTGCTCCTCCCTCATCCCCTTGCTTTGCTGCTGACGCTCTGCCGCCGCCGCTGCTGCTGCCCTGTTGCCGCACGCAACCACCTGCCTTCCTGCCTCCTTGCCCTGCCACCCACCAATGCTGTCGCTGTGCCACCGCACACCAGTGTAACTAGATTTTGCAATACAATGCCGGTAGAATACATACGGCTGTGGGTGCGAGGGAGGGCCTACGGTAAGCAGGTCGTAGGGTGCCTACGGCCAAAAATGCCGTAGGTGGTCCTACGGCATCTGGGTGCCGTAGGGGATTAACGATCTCCTACGGCACTGCCATATCGTACAAGACCTACGATTTCCAAAATCGTAGGCCAAAAGCCTGCCCCTAGCTATGCATGGCTGGGCAGGTGGTGCTGGGGTGATGGTGGACAAAGGGGAAGGCTGGGCGACGCGCCTGCACTTTCAGACGGCCGCCTAGCCACCACACCAGGCCCCGCCATGCAGCTTGACGCTGCCATCCTCCAATTGCTTGCTCTCAGGGACGATCTTGATGATGCCGAAGATTCTGCTTGCCCTCGCCCACAACCTCAATCATCGGAGTTGTCGGAGAGCTTTCTCTGAAGACTCCGATAATTGACAGCCGTCCGCCTGTTTTTGCTGCCGAGCCTTCCGCACGTTGAGCAGTCAGTCGAGCAAGTTGGCTGGCTGGCTGGCTGGCTGGCAGACGGATGCGCAAAGAAAATGTGGAGGCCACGCTGGGTGGCTTGGGTAGGCATGCACGCTCTCTGCCTAGCAGGCGTGCCCACGCAGGCTAGGCTCTCTGACCGCCTGCCTGCCTGCCTCAGTGAGTATAAAGTCTTGCATTGTCCGCTCTTGCTCCTTCCCTCCCAATCCCTATCATCAACCCTTCGCCCGCCACTGCCACCTGACCAACATCGACGCCACCTGCCAGCATCCGCCCCAGCCGCCCTGTCCCACCCCAGCTGCCCTCAACCCTGCACCACCCGACCGTTCTCAACATCGCCAACACCCCGCACACAATCTTCGCCAATGCCACCGCCTCTCCCACCAGCTACAGGTTTGGCTCAGTTCCGCTCCGCCCTTGCGCCATTGCTCCGTGCTGAAGTAGGCTTGCTGACATCTCGCTCCTCTTTGGCCTTTTTTGCAGACTCGAGTCTAGGTTCGCCGCCACCACCATCGCCAACTTGCCGCCACCACCCATACGACGCCGGCCGCTTCCTGTTTGCGTGAGTCACGAAGCTGTCCGCTCGCAGTCGCCATCTGCTGATACTGGGCGCTGACTTTGGTTCTCTGCTTGCTCCACCTCTGCCCCTCTGCACAAGAACAGCCACCTTCATCTGACTGCCACAGGCCTTTGGACATCGTCAAGATGTTTGCAGGTGAGTTGCAGCCACCATTTCCATCGCACCTATCGCGTGGACAACCTCTGCACCCAGTTTACCCTTGCACGATGCTGACAACACTTATGCCTCTCTCTCCCCTTTTCACTGGCAGCCGCTGCCACCACCACTCAATGCCCTGCTGAGGCCACAGATCAAGACCGTCAGACGCATCCTTGGCGCCACATAGCAGTTTGCCTGCCAACACTGGGCAGGTGAGTGCATTGATCTGCGGCCTGCTGCCACCGCCAGACAACATTGGCACTGCTGCCTCACCACCCTCAGTCCTTGCCTTCATCCTTGCACGCCTTCCTTTTTAACCGCCACTGCCATTGCCACCCAATTGCTGCCCGCAGCCACCGTGCCCTTGAAGGTATGTCCCTGTCTTGGTGAGTTGGCAACACCACCTGTTGCCGGCAATGCCTGCTGAGCCTGCCGCTGACCTTTTTTCTGCCTGCCTCCTCTCTGCCGCCTCCTGCATCCTTACCCCGCATGCTGTTGTGCGCTTGCCCCTGCTACGATCTGCAGGCGCAATTGTATCGTAGTTTCTAGTAGCGTAGGTAGGATACAACTCTGCAATTGAAACCAGTATTCAATCCCATTCATCCTAGCTTAGCACTCTGCCCTAACCTCGCTGCCTGCCTGCGACCCAAACATCGTACCCTGGTTGCAACCCAAAGCTTGCTGGCATACCTACGATCCGAAAAATCGTAGCTAGATTGGCGTAGCTATGATCCGAAAAATTGTAGCTACGCTGACAAGTATCTACGATCTCGAAATTGTAGGTAGGCTGGCCTAGCTACAATCTGAAAATTGTAGCTAATCAAACAGCTACAATCTGAAAATCGTAGCTAGTATACAATCTAGAAATCGGCACGGCCTGTCTGCATTCTGGAATTGTTTGTGTAGAAGGCCTACCTACAATCTGAAAATCGATTATTGGCTACGCCTACCTACAATCTGAAAAGAATTGTAGGTAGGCCCTGCTGCTGGATATGATCCAGTCTACCAATGTGCAGGAGGGCTAGGCTATGTATACTGTCTACCTACAGTGTCGAGGCATCTCCTGCCTCGACCAATCAGAACTAGCCTCTATTGTCCTATTGTCCTCCATTGTCATCCCAAGGCGTTGCTCCAAGGTGGGACACCACTGACATGCCCCAAGGCCTTGCCTGTGGTCTAAAGAGCGGGTCTGAGGTGTCCTCCTGCCAGCAGGAGCAACTGCAGAGCCACACGACGTGCGCCAACATTGCCCGACGCACAGAGGATTGCTAGGGTACCAATGATTCCTCTCTGCAGCCGCACGGAGAGCTTTCACCTTGGCTCCGGAAATCCTCTGCCCCAATGGCCTGCGCCGCTGAGCCCTGATTGGGACAGGCTGTGACAGCCGGATGGGGGGCCAGCGCGCGCACAACAGCAGGGCGGACCCCTGAGCTGACATAAGCAAAAAAAGTTGTTCTTTTGGCCACACCAGTCATAGCTAGCGTCAAAAGACAGGTGGTTTTTGGCTGTACGCCAGCCTACAGCCTGAAATCGGGAGATCGGGGGACATCTACGCTAAAATTGACCGTAGGCAGCCCTACGGCCAAAATCGGCGATCTCCTACGATAATTTTGGGCCGTAGGGCTGCCTGCGGCCGTTTTTTGAGGGGCATCTGCGACAATTTTGGCCGTAGGGCCACCCACGACCATTTTCTGAGGGGCAGCCACGGCATTCCCAGCCGTAGGGTCTCGCACGGCCTGGGCCAACCACCCTACCCTGCGCAGAAAATGGCCCTTCCTGC